GATAGACTTGTTTTGAATCTTTATTTTCAAACAAATTATACCCTCAGGAATTAATTGTTACACTTTCAAAATACGTAGACATATGTCCTGTGGAAAAGTAGGGTGAAAACTCCCTAAACATTTTCTGTGTGGTTTCTGGTAGGTAAAGTATTGTGGAGGGTAAAGGATTGTGGAAAACATTTCTTCTAATTACAGTAGCAACATTTAAAACAATTTAAAACAGAACGGGACATGGGCCCTATGAATGATCTTGAATTGGGTCTCCCTTCATGTTTCATTCGTGACTACAGATCTTATTTTTGTATAACCCTGGAGGATTTTGCCCAACAAATCCGGGTCAGAAAAGTCCCTTGCCCAGTCTTTTACATTGGAGGAAGAGAGAGGAGCGAGAAATAAAGTTTGAAGTCTGGGGTATGTTGTCGAGATGGAGCATGATGCCGCCCCAGAAAGGGGAAGAATTTAGCTTTTCGTGAAGTTTATGCGAATACCCGAGAAGGTTCCAAAGTGCGCAAACAATGCCTGAATAGCATCGATATCTACATTAGGTTGAGATGTAGAAAGCAATATATCATCCGCAAACAATGCAATATGTAGTTCGGATTTCCCAATCTTGATACCAGCAGGTCCGGGGAGTTTAGAATATGGGCAGCCAGAGGCTCTATGGATAAGTCGAAGAGCAAGGGGGACAGAGGGCACCCGTCGTGTGCCCTTCTCCAAAATGAATGTCTCCAAAATGAATGGCCGAGACAGGGCCGCTTGTGTCAAAACCCTCGCTACCGGGGAAGCATACATCTGAAAGAACACGACTCGTCCCTGGAACCCAACCTTCGTCAGCACCAGGAACTGCCAACGCAGGTTGACATTGTGGAATGTCTTTTCAGGAAGGAGATAGGCCTATAGGAACCCGGGTCTGTGGGGTCCTTTTCCTCTTTCGGAATAAGTTTGATATACGCTTCTTTCCCAGGAGTCAGATAGGGGCTACCTTCCCACACCGAATTAAGTAAGGAGTGGAGAGAATCTACCACCTCCGATTGCAATAGATTATACAATTTGGCCTTGTAGCCATCAGGACCTGGGGCTTTGCCCTTGCCAAGATGTTTGATAACTGACAATATTTCTTTATGTGAAATGTCTGCAATTAGCGAGGAGAGTTGGTCCGGAGACAGATGAGGAAGACCCAACAAGTTGAGAAATCGCTCCGCTGCCTCACCATCAAACTCATCCTCAGAGTACAGAGACCTGTAGAAATCTTCTAAAATCTGATTAATGTTCAAGGGATCCCGTTCCAAGAGCCCAGAGGGGTGTTTGAGGCACGGAATACAACGGGGGCGACATCTCCCCTTCACTAGATGCGCCAACAGTTTCCCCGCCTTGTTCCCATATTTGTGAATAGAAAGATTTAAGTGGGCAGAATAAATAGCATCCTGCCTCTGGGCCCAGAGATCGCACTGTTTGTCATTCTCCCATGTTTGCCTGTTATGGGGGTGGCACTAGAGAAAAGGGCCAATTTGGCACTCCCTAATCGGGCACGAGCCAGTCTATAGGAGTGCAATGTGTTCCTCTTGTATGCCGACAAGTAGGAGATAATTCTCCCTCTCCCAGAAAAGGACTGGAGTGGAAGTGTGTTGTTGATTAAAGGAAACATAATACTTCCACAATGTCATAAGGAATTGGCGAAAGTCCTTGTTGGCGTGTAGGTATGCAGGAAACTGCCACAAGTAAGCATGTGATGTGCTTGAGGCGACCTCAATTGATAAGGCAATAGGGGCGTGGTCCGAGATCACATCATATATCTCTAATTATCTTGCCTTAGGCAACCGTTCAGGAGTACAGAAAAAAAAATCCAAGCGCGCCAGTCATGAATCGGAGAAAAATGGGTAAAGTCAGCGTCCAAAGGATGGGCCAACCGCCAGATATCGTGCAAATTGAGAGCCGATACCATAGTGGCCAAAGATGACCGCCTGGCGGGCTCAGGCCCCCTCGTTTTGGGCGCGTTACCAGAGATCCATCTCCTATCTTTCAGCAATGACATGGTGGAATTGAAGTCTCCCCCAATCAGATGAAGAGGCGCAGTACATTTTGACAACCACTACGTCAGAGTTCTGAAATACGATTTGGAGGGCGAATTCTGAAAATAAACTTTCGTAATAGCCAATTTGGAGGTACCCAGGTCTAAAGTCAAAGTCCCCTCAGAGTCCCTTTCTATGCTCAAAATAGTACAATGTTAGCATTTATGCAATAAAATCAATACACCCACTTTTCTACCGTCCAATAGCAAACCAATCACCTCCCCCACCCATGATTTATGTAGTCTGTGGAAGTCCCCCTCTTTCAAGTGCGTCTCCTGTAATAGGGTTATGTCCATGCGCATTCTCTTGAGCTGCCTTAGAACTTGGTTGCATTCCTGGGGGGAACGAAGACCCTTAAACATTCCACGATACAACTTTCATGAAATAGAGGGCACATGATGTCTAATTTGCAGACCGAAAAGAAAATTAGAGACTTGTCTGGCACTGAATACGATCCGTTACCCCCCGGACCTGCAAAAACACTACCCAGCAGTGAGGAAGAGTAGATTTGAGGTAGAGGGGAGCTGTAGACATAAAGGATTGGACAGACCCCCTCAATAACATGAGGGCAACTGGATGGGATGCACAATCAATTAATACTCGGAAGTAGATGACCTAACTTAACTTAAAAGAGAACTATAGGGTAAGTGTTTTTCCCCATAGTTCTCTTAAGGGTCACGAGAGGGCATTAACTAGCTTCTTCCTGTGACCCAAAGCTAAGTATATGGGGAGCTACAGCTCCCCATATACTGAGACCGCCGAAGCTTGAACGGATCAAGACATTACTGTCGAGATCCACCCAGCATCAGTGATACCGCTCCATGTTGGATTGTGTTGCTTGCTGGGAAAAGCTTGTTAGTCCTTGCTGTGGTGTGGTGAACATTCTAATATATGTGGCTTTAAGCTCTTGCTGTTATATACAACTATGGAGGAAGTTTGGCTTTTTGTTTTGCTATATTGAACTGTCATTCATAATCTTGCATAACAAAGACGGATCTGTATATGAGATGAAATTGTGAGGTGTACGAAGTAATATACCCAGGAATGCATTGATGAACTTTACTTTCACCGCCACAACTCAACTTAGGAGCACTACTGTATGAAGAAATACAATAAACTAGGTCTCCTTATTGCAAGCAGTATTCTGTAGTAAAAAGACTCCCACTTCTGCTCTCCGCAGCTGAGATCCAAGTTAGGTAAATAAAATTACTGCTACAACATTACCCGTGTCCATGTCCACCATAGAATTGCATGTTAGGAAATAACTCAACCTTCAACAGTACAGAGGAGTGAGGAAACAGCTTAGTGTAACTGGAGGTCATATAATAAACCATAATACAATGGATAGCAATCACAGTAACAACAGCCAAGCAGAATACAGCAGCATAAGGCATATAATTGCACACTAATGCATTAGATATTCTTGCACCTGTCCTACTTAAAAAGGGACACAAGATGGAGGTTCAGGCGATTCAAGGATGCGGATATTTGCAGGGCGTACCCCCCGATTTCTTTGAGGATCTGGTGAATTTACGGGGTGAACGCAGAGGTGGTGGAGGCTTTAATGGAGACCCAGAAACCGATTCCAGACGAATTACCACTGCTGCGGCCTCCAATGGATCCTGGAAGGAGAGACGCCTACCATCTGCAGCATCAAAATAGTGAACGGCCAGATACGCCAATGTGAACATGATTTGTCTCCGGACAAGAGATGGACTCGCTATGATACGAATGCCAACTTGGATTGAGGTCGCTAATGTGTCTTATCCCTTTGTATGAGTAGGTTTTCCCCCCTGTCCTTTACCCCACTATTGTATCAATTTATGTCTATGTATATTCATGTTAAACGGTTGAAAAAGGTTAAACAAAAGAATTTATAAAAAAAAGACACAGAGATGGAGCGTGCCTGGGCTGAGATCTCCTTCCTCAGCTGAAGCAGCCCCTGTTGAATTGCCGACTCCACCGCCTCTGTAATTGTGAGCTTGAGGAGCCTGGCCACCGCAATGTGGGCATAGGATGAGTTATTTGTCGGCTTATCAAGGGAGGAGGCAGGAGAAGGGCTACGGTGGACCAGCCTGTCAGCCGAGTCTGCCTTCTTGGCTGCAGAGTCTCCCTTTGTGCCCTCCAGTGCACGCGGCACCGATTGGGAGCGGGTCCCTTTCGCCACCAAGAAGCGGTCCATTGCTACGTCCCTGGTCACCTGAATCTAAGAACCAGCGCAGGCGTTCTTGCAGGCACTTGTGAGGCTGGAATTTGTAAGAAGAGATATGCTGGGGACGAAGGACGAAGCGCTGACTCCCCGCCGCTTCTTACATGTGGGGCAGGAACCAGAAGTCATGATCTTAGACTTTACATAAAATCTTTCATTAACGTCTTCATGTTATATAGTTTCAATACCATGTCATAGACAGTATTTATTAATGTAAAATAACATATTCCACACTGCATATTTTTTTCAATTTTTTCGTAAAAAAACGTCTTTGGAAGACAGAACAAAAATCAAAATGTTTCCGTTATTTTTTTTTTTAGGCCTTCTCATCTCTAGTCCAACCATTGGAGTGGAGAAATTGGATCTTTTCTGGAGGAAGACACTGGATAAGTCTGTATCCAAGACTAGGCCCAGGTACTCTCACGATGAAAGGGTTCCAGCACTGACTTCTAGAGATTCGGGACCCATCCAAAGCTCTGCAGGGTTTGTGAAAATCAAAAGACTGTTCAATAGCAAAGGTCTTGCCAACTGCTCTCTGAGAAGGTGGTCATTCAAGTACCCCTCTATATGGATGCCTTAAGACTGAAGCAGAGTGAAAACAGGGGTCAGCACCCTGGTGAAGATCCAAGGTGCAGTTGACAGGCCTAGTAGAAGGGCAACAAATTGGTAGTATACAAAGCAACATACAGGTATTGCTTTTGAGCAGGAAAAATGAGGGCGTGCTAATATGCATCCTTGACATCCACGGAGACCAGGAAATCACCCTGCAAAAAGAAGGTTCTGACTGTTTGGGTAGATTCCATACGGAACGTTTGGACCTGTAGGAACCTGCTAAGAATCTTCAGATCGAAGATTGCTTTGGGCACAGTAAACAGGTTGGAATAGAACCCCCTGAAACATTTCTGCCTCTGGAACAGAGACTTAAAACCCTCTGAGAAAGGAGCTGATCTAGGGCTTTCAGTAGACTTTGGCAAGGTTGACAACAGGAAATGTGGATGAGGCAGGGAGCAAAACTCCGGTTTGCAACTCTTGGTAGCGATGCTCTGGAACAAAAACTGCCTGGGAGGGATGAAAAACGTTTCCTAAAAGGAGAAAGCAGAAGAATGTGCTACTGCACGTTTGGACTACTTCTGGGGAAAAAAATGTAATCTTGTCCCCTTAACTTCCATGAGGAATTCACAGAAAAGTTGTTCCCCAGAAAAAAAAGACATGTGCTCCAGGCGCTTCTTGCACAGAAGTGCCACAAACTAGCATTTAAGCCATAGCATCTGTTGCATGTGAACAGATATAAGACCCATCCTAGAGATTTGCCTGAGGGTATCTGCCAAGCCATCTACACATGGCCACCTGGAAGAGCTCTAACTGATTTAGAGTGGCAGCGTCTGCCCAGATGGACCTGTGGTCCCTATCCATAGCCCTTGACCATACAGATAAGGCTGGACAAACCACCATTGTAGGAACAGCAGGTTGCATAGGGGGGCCTGCAAGAACAAAGCCCTAAAAGGGCTCCGCACCATGTCCGCAAGGGAAAAAATAGTGTCCTTGAGCTTAGGAGAAATGTCAGAAGACAGATCCCCTTCCGGGGCTGAGTCCACAAAACTGGAAGCAGTCTTCTCATCTTTTTCAGGGAGTGCACAAGCAAAGAAAGGTAAGAGGGGGATTCTGAGAACTCTAAGAACTTTAATAGCCATTACTAAAGTAATCTGCTTTCTGGATAGCAGAGTAGAGGAGAATACCCTGTAAGGTGCTGAGGAAGGCCCTGAGGTGGGGAGCGATGAGCAGGAGCAGAGCACAAGGCTAGCAGAAAGAGTGTCCCTCAAATCGTTGTCAGTCTATGTGGCCCCAGACCCTACCAGCAATACATTACTATGATCTGCCTTTGGATGTTAAACATTGCCTTGTATGCCAAAAGTGAAGGCAGAAGAGATAAGACAGTGTAGGGATGCAGAGAACTGGACTCCCTGTATGGTCATCTAGAGTTACAGAAACAAATGTTTGACCAGCTTAGGTCTCAAGGGGAACAAAAATGGAGGGGGACATGCGGAGTGCAGTACCCCAGAGAGAGGTTACGTAGACGCCATGTGACCGCAATGTAGAAGGGCGATGGGGATTTTACATAGGGCACCGTCAGCAGGGACTAGCCCTGATTTACCATACCTTCACAGCAACAGTGCGTTCATTCAACTGTGGCATGCCCAATCCAATCCATGAGCTCCCAGCGGGAACGGTCAAACTGGGTAACTGAGTAGAGACAAGCCTTTTACTGGCTTGAACTGGCAGCACGATCACTTAAATGATATATGCCTTGTGCAGTCATCACCCTGCCAGTGGGCATACCACCTTAGAGGGGGTCTCCAGGGTCTAGAGCAGAAAAGAATGGGAGTGGGAGGGGTAATACAGCTTTCACTTGCCATTGTCCAATCACCTGAAGGTAGATGCCCAACACATCCATTTCCGAAGTTACTCTGTGTCCTGTGACGTACGATCAAGAAAGTGTACACATGACTGAATTATTATATATAGCTGATAAAGTGTTTGTGGCAAGGTATATAAGCAGCACAAATTCTCAAAGGCAGTAAAACAAAAAAAACAAAAAATTACCTGGTACAAGTCCTGCAAGAGGCTGATTATCTTCATCTCCATCCCTGTAGGCCTGCCACCAATTGGGGTCATCCTGACTGATGATGTGGAGAATATCTCCCTTCTGGAAGGAAAGACCCAGTTCTCTGCATGGCACATATGGGTCATCAGTAGGGTCATAGTCAAAATGTGCTTTCACATGTATCTTAGGGGAAAAAAAACTTTAATTATACATGCATACTGTAAGAAATGGTAAAACAGGGCAGAATTTAGCAGTATAATTAAAAAGGTACATCTATTCTGCAATATAATTTATAAATAAATATAGCTGCAAGCAGCAATAAAGGTGGCCAAGCATTAGAGCCTGGTTATAGCACATAAAATATTGCAGTCAGAAAGATAAATAGCAAAGTCATGTATTCACAATAGACCTGTACAACTGCATACATTTTCATAGATTGTAATATTTTTCCAATTTCAAAATTGGCCACGACCTTTCACATCTATATTAAGTTTGCACGTATGTTGTGGAGTAATTATGTGTATTAAATTTTAAGATAGTTCAGTAGTCATATAAATACACATTTGTGACATTTGCTGCAATGTTAAATGTGATTGGCTTGCGTCGGCCATATAGATGTTATTTACTTCCTATGTGTTTGGAAAGCACATGATGGAACAAACAGCTTTTCCTTCAGAACAGAAACAGGGGCGGGTCTTTCTGATGCTACACGTTTGATCTGAGGAGACGGAATTTCACGTCGTTACCGGCTGGCTGTTTCTTTTTTAAATGTGAGTTTTTATATATTTTCTGCAACAACATTTTATGAATACTGCACCATGTGGGGTTTCCGTTTATCTTTACCATGATTGAACATCTGAGATGAGCGTTTACTAACGAATGGAATACGAGGAAGGAGGACATTGAGATGTGTCTTGTTTCTCAAAAGCTTGTTGACTGTTATTTGACAGTCAGCAATTGGGGTGAGTGCATAAGTATAAGGACCAGGCCAGTATGTTATATATGTATAGATGGTTTAATATACACAGCAGACTAACAGCAACAAGGCTCACAGGTAACAAGGTTCAGGACTCACAGGTAACACGGTTCAAACAGGGTTCAGGACTCACAGGTAACAAGGTTCAAACAGGGTTCAGGACTCACAGGAAACAAACAGGGTTCAAGGATCAGGACTGGTATCAGGACTATATAATATATAATATAATATATAATATCCTCCCAGGAAGCACCAGGTGATGGCTAAGTACTGACAGCTGGGAAACACCTGCAGGTGAGCACTGGAGCTGCAGGTCCCAGCACCACCCAGTGGTGGTGTGGTACCTAGCAGTTGCTGGATGCCTAGAGAATCCTGCAGGTGAGCCCAGGAACTGCAGGGCTTAGCTCCAGCGCCACTTGGAGGTGCTCTGGATCCTAACAGAGAGTTTGGTTTTCTTTACCTGGAAAAGTTTCCGATTTTCACTGTTTGGGACTGGACTGTCTTCTGATTGGCTATTTGATTGATTATCTTGATATCAGTCCTATATACACTATTATATGTTGTATGATTTATTATATATATTTATCTCACTGATTCTGCACTATTTATGGTATTTGATCATCAATTTTTACATTTTATATTAATTTAAGTGATTGTGCACTATTTATGATATTAATTCATGCACTTTAATGGAGAGGTTTTTAGAGCTGTACATTTTTGCTAAAAAACAAACGGAAAAAAAGACACAGCACTCTCGTGGAATTAAAAAGTGGATCAAAATAGTTATACCAATCAAAAATAGATTTTAATTAAAGGAATAAATTAATGAATCAATTAAAAACGAGTGTGACTTTGATGGCTAATGGGGCTGTGTGTCTTCTGATTGAACATCATAGTTTGTCTATATTAATGAGGGCTGCGGTGTGGGCACTGTAATGGTTGGTATGATTGAATCATAAGGTTAATCAGATGAGGGTGAGAATCTCCAATACCTCATTCAATCCAATGGGGACTAGAGTGTTGAGCTGATATATCCAGTATGTTTCCCTCCTGCATAGCCGCTGGAAACGCTCGAGTGCCGAAAAATGCTCAAGGGATGCTCAATGGCAAACACCTGCAAATCTTGAATACGCTTATTGTGTTTGTGTGCCAAATGCCGTGGGACACTGTGGTCTAGGTCACCGTCTAATAAATCTTCTGTATTCACCTATTCTTTTTCTCAGCGGGCGGATGGTACGGCCGACATATAGTAAATTACAGGGACATTTTAAACCAAAAATTACATGGTCATGGGAACATGTAATAAATTGTTTAATGGGGTAATTTATATTGGCGCTGTGAATTTGTATTGTCCAAAGATTATCTAAGGTTTTGGAACCTTTGTGTAGCAGCTTTTAGCCTATTGGAGCTAAAAGTTTTTGTCCATTAGCACAGATTATTATTATATTCAGTTCCTATGACTAACCTTTAGTAGGGGAGGTGGCCGTGGAGATGTGTGCCAAATTTAGCATTATCATGATATGCCGTTTCAGAGATAACACAATTTGTAGAAAGTTGCGCAATCCAATATGGCTGCCAAAAAATGTGATAGATTGACTTGTAAAACACAAGTCTTAGTCAGTATCTCCCTATAGACCTCTACAACTGTACATGATTTCCTGAACTGTCATTTTTTTTTTCAAATTCAAAATGGCCACCGACCTTGGTGACATTTGGAATCCATATTGTATTTGACAGTTATGATTTTAAGGTATCATATACGTTTAACAAGTTTAACATACTTCAATAGTGATATAAATGCATGTTTATGCAATTTGCTGCAATGTTAAAAGTAATTGGCTTGTGACAGCCATATTGATTTAGGCAATTACTTACTTTGATACTCCATGTTAGAGGAGGAGGCTATAGACATATGTGCCAAATTTTGCATTGTTCCGACAAACAGTTTAAAAGAAAAAGATTGTAGAATATTGCACAATCTAATAGGCTGCCAAACCATTTGGTCAAATGACTGGTAATGAACATATGTGACTGCAAAACACAGCATATCCTTACAGAGAAATTTGCATATTTGTAGCTTTGGCAGTTATGAAAAAACAGATGTTTAAAAACTGTCCGAAATACATTTGCTCAAACTAAGATGGCTGCCAGAGCATGCGACCTATGACCTTTATGTTACCAAAGATTAAACACAGCACGGTTCTCTACCATTGTGCCAAATGTAATGAGTTTTTTTTTAAACTGTGTGGTTATAATTAGCATTTTTTTAAAAGGAGAATAAAAAATAGAAATATTTGTAAAATTTAACACAATTCAATATGTGGTCAGTAGACTTGTAGTGATCAGTTCTGAGTGCAGATCACAGCATAACTTTAAAACAGCATTTTGTACATCTGTAGCTTTAATAGTTTCGGAGAAACGGATGTTTGAATATGGAGCGGAATATTGTTACCTAAAACAAGGCGAGGGAATGTGACCTATGGCCTGTATGATGTAAAAGATTAGGCATAGCATAGAGCTCTAATCATTAGGCCAAGTTGCATGTGTTTTTGAGCAACAGTGTACTTATTACAGGCTTTTGAAAAAAATGCCATAATAATAATAACACTATCTAAATACCATTGGCTTTCAGTGGCCATATTTATATTGGGATTGGACCTGTTTTTACAAACGTGGTAGAAGAGGTTGCCCAAGACATATGTGTGAGGTTTTGAATTATTCTGATAAATGGTTTCAGAGATTAAGTTGTTTGCAGAATTTAGCACAATCGAATATGGCTGCCAAACCATAATTAAATGACTTGTAATGAACACATATGACAGGAGAGCTCAGCATATCCTCACATAGCAATTTGTATATCTGTAGCTTTAGAGGTTATGAAAAATCAGATGTTTGAAAATTGTCATTGTGACAAATTTCATGAGTTTTTAAAAATAACGGTGTGGTTATAATTAGCATTTGAAAAAAGGAGCACCAACATAATAGGAATCTTTGTAGGATTTTAGACAATTCAATATGGCCGCCGAACAATGTGGCCAATTGACTTGTAATGATCAGTTCTGAGAGCAGATCACAGCATAAATTTAAACCGCTATTTGTACATCTGTAGTATTAATAGTTCCTGAGAAACGGATGTTTGAATATGGAGCTAAATATGGTCACCTAAAACAAGATGGCTGCCAGGGAATGTGGCCTATGGCCTTTATGATGCAAAAAATTAGGCATAGCATAGAACTCTACCATTGGGCCAAAGTTGTATGAGTTTTTGAACAACAGTGTGTTTACTACAGGCTTTTAAATAAAAGATCATAACAATAAAAACACTAGCTAAGTATGACTGGTTTGCAGAGGCCATATTGATTTTGGGATTGTACTTGTTTTTACACCCATGGTAGAAGAGGTCACCCTAGACATATGTGCACATTTTTTAATTATTCTGATACATGGTTTCACAGATGAAGTTGTTTGCAGAATATTGCACAATCCAATATGGCTGCCAAACTATGAGGCCAATAGACTTATAATGAACACATGTGACAACAGAGCACAGCATAACCTTACACAGCAATTTGTACATCTCTAGCTTTAGCGGTTCTGGAGAAGCAGGTGTTTAAATATTTGCCACGAAATCAAGATGGCTGCCACATCATGCGACCTATGACCTTTATATTGCAATATGTTTTGCAGAGCATAGGGCTCTACCATTGTGCAAGGATTCATGAGTTTTTGACTAACGCTACTTTTATTACAGGCATTTGAAAAAAGCAGCGGAATAATAATAATCAGAACAAAAACAATAGGTGTCCAGCAATTTCGTTGCTTGGCCCCCTAATAATAATCAGAACAAAAACAATTGGTGTCCTGACATTTACAGATGTAGGCCCTGTACATACAGGTGAAACTCGATTAATTAGAATATCGTGCAAAAGTTCATTTATTTCACTAATGCAACTTAAAAGGTGAAACTAATATATGAGATGGACTCATTACATGCAAAGCAAGATAGTTCAAGCCGTGATTTGTCATAATTGTGATGATTATGGCTTACAGCTCATGAAAACCCCAAATCCACAATCTCAGAAAATTAGAATATTATGAAAAGATGCAATATTCTAGGCTCAGTGTCCCACTCTAATCAGCTAATTAAGCCATAACACCTGTAAAGGGTTCCTGAGCCTTTAAATGGTCTCTCAGTCTGGTTCAGTAG